CCGTGCACCTTCCCCCAACTTTTCCCTTGTGATTGATAACACAACTATCCCCCCTCCCCCCATGCCAAGGTCCTACGTGTCATCCTTGACTCGGACCTCACCTTTCTTCCCCACATCCAATCGCTATCCAAATCCTGCCGCCTTCACCTTCCGCAAAACTACTCACACACTCCCTTGTTATCTCTCGTCTTGACTATTGCAACTCCCTCCTCATTGGCCTACCTCACACAGACTCCTCCCCTTTCAGTCTATCATGAATGCAGCTGCTAGGCTCATTCACCTAACCAACCGCTCAGCGTCTGCAAACCCCCCCTCTGTCAGTCCCTCCACTGGCTTCAAATAGCCAAAAGGATAAAATTAAAAATAATAACAATGACTTACAAAGCCATCCACAACTCTGCCCCCGGATATATCGCATACATGGTCTCAAAGTATCACCCTAACCGTCGGCTCCGCTCATCCCAAAACCTCCTGCTTTCCAGCTCCCTTGTCAACTCCTCCCATGCTCGCCTCCAGGACTTCTCTAGAGTCTCTCCCATCTTCTGGAATTGTTTACCCCAACCTGTCCGTCTGTCGCCCACCTTGACTGCCTTTAGGCGTTCCCTAAAGACTCATCTCTTCAGGGAAGCCTATCCCACCTCAACCTAACCGCTCAACCTCCACGTTCTCAAACAATTCATCCCCACACAGTTCCCTCCTCATGTATCACTTCCCCCTCCCTTTTAGATTGTAAGTGTCAGGAGTGCCAATGGTTTGGCAGAAGAACGAAGTGGAACTCACTGGCAGGAAATGGCCTGAAGCGTCCGAAGGCAGAGGTACAAAAGGGTTAATCCAAAGAGAAATCAAGTCCAATCCGAGTCGAGGCAGGCAGCAAAGGTTCAGGGGCGAAAGGCAGTCCAAGGTCGGCAACAGCAGGTCCAGATAAAGGGGGTCAGGAAACAAAGCAAGGCACATGTACAGGGAGCTAGGAAATCACACCACAGGATGAGATAACTCAGCAACAAGCCAGAGCTCTGGCCAGGTTTTTATAGCCAGGGGGTGTAAGTCCGCCCCCCTGTCACCGAAGCAACTATGAGGCTTCTCTCCACGAGAGCCAATGGCAGACGAGAGGTGGTATGGGTGTGTACGGGAACCTCCCCAGCTAGGTCCACACCTGAGGCCCAAACAGGTGCAGGCACGCTATGCACGTGCTCCTGGGGATGCGCGCGCAGCCTGCGTACTGCGCATGCGCACCCACCGCACGACTCGCGCATGCGCACCTGCAACCCGGGCACCAGTGGTTCTGCCAGGCTGGAGGGAGACCCACACCATACCCGCTGACCCCGTGGGGAGGAGACACTGTTGGCGCTCTATAAATCCCGTATAATAATAATAAAGGCGTCACCAGGGCATGCTTTAGAGGGGAAAGAAAGATGCCAGTAGAGAGAGAAAGATTGAAAATGTGAGTAAGACAGTGTAGGATAGAGTAAGAGGGTGACCGAAGTAGTGGTGAGGGAACAGGGTCCAGGGGGCAAGTGGTGAGGTGCGTGTCAGAGAGAAGGGTTATCCCATGGATCGTTGAGTTGTAAGCGCAACGAATTAAGAAGAAGGAGAACAAGGCAATCCTTATAGCGCCAAAGAGAGGCTGGTGTGCTCTGGGCTCTGAGGTGGCCTTGTGGGGTGTAAGGAGACTGTGCGGGGTGTCAGGAGGCCGTGTGGAGGCTTGTGGGGCTGAGGCTCTGCAGGGTCTATGGTGGGCTTTACGGGGTCTCACTAAGGGACATCATCAGTCATCATCAGTGGTGCTGAACCTATGGCAATTGTGCCAGGGAAGGGACGCGGGGCCCTCTCGGCTGCCACGCGAGCCCAGGGTTAGCAACCACCTCTTAAAATAGATCCGATCGTCCCAGGGTCACCTTGATACACGATATCAGGCAGCGGTGGCAGCCTACAAACAGGCATCTTAGATGTAATGAGGCGATCCGGGATGGTCAGATCTATGTCGCACAGCCCGCCCCAGAGCCGCACAGCCCCCCCTGAGAGCAGAAAAGCCACCCTGAGAGCAGAACAGCCCCCAGTTTGGGCACACGGGCTCCAAAAGGTTTGCCATCACTGGTCTAGGTGGTGTCTCATGCTTCGTGGTGGCAGAAATAAATATATATATATTTATCTCTCTCTCTTCTCACACTCTT